TGAACGGAATGGTCAATGGTATAAAATGCAATGAGTATTTGTATTACCCACTTATTCTGTAGCGTAAAGTTTTGTCTTGACTGGTATAAAAAATAACGTGAACTTTTCTGTTTTAGGCAATGTATACAATGTAACACCTTACATGAATTTCCATCCGGGTGGTGTTGAAGAACTAGAGAGAGGCATTGGGACAGATGCTACTAAACTTTTCTCTCAGGTACTTTTCTCATATTTCAATATTGAAACTTTTTGAATTGCCAAATTTACAGCTCCTTCTGTTTGTAGGTTCATGCTTGGGTGAATTATGATTCTATCCTCAAGAAATGTCTGGTTGGTCGCTACCGACCAAGGACTACTGATTCCATTCCTGCAACTGACGGAAGCTCCCCTTCTTCATCAGAAGTTGGACTTGGTGCATTTTTGGCCACCAAAGAAGAAAAGGAGAAACATAATGCAAATCGAAATACACCACTCCAGCCTCCTCAAAGTATGACCATTAAATTGTTGTTTCTAATATTTTTTTTCCTTGTGATTTTTTTTTTATTAGTACACTTTACTAGTTGTCTGGTCTTTGATTTTATCTATTTACCCATCTAGAAAAGCTTCGATATGACTGGTATGAACAAGAGGAGAGAGGATCTGTTGTTTTATACTGTCAGACACAAGAGCCAAGTATAAAAGTTACCTTAGGTGATGATAACCAGAATTTGACCATAGTAGTTAGTGAAAAAGATGCGTCACAGTCACTCCACTTTTTACTAGAAAATACTATTGTTTGGCCACCAAGACTAATACAAATCCCAAACTCTAGTAAGGTAAGTTTCCATTGATAAATTGAGTATTTATTTTATTAGTTTTTCTTTGTAGACAAATTTGAGATATTCTTTATGCTGAACAAGTTGTATATTAATTAACTCTTCTTTCAGGTGGAACTCCAATTGAAAAAGGTTAAACCAGGTCACTGGAAAACCCTAGGACTTCCCATTCAAAAATCAGACCAGGAAATGGGAGAGCCTGTGTCTTATTCAAATTATTCAAAAATGAAAGTTAGTGATATTTTTTCAGTAAATTATAATACCAAAATATTAGCTCTGTCATACTTGGAACAATCTTTCTCTACGACTCCTGTTGGCCATCATGTTAGGGTACACAATACCTTTGAAGGTAAGCCATAACCATGTATTTATTTTTAATCCTTTGCGTTTGATTTCAAAGCTGTGGAAAAGTTAGAGGTTTTATCTATTTTCTATTTTCTTAATGATCCACAGGTCAGGAAGTTGAACGATGTTACACACCTATATGCAAAAGCATGGTAGATTTGCCCACTGAGGAGGACCAAGCACACCTTTATTTGATGATCAAAGAGTATAAAGATGGTTTATTAAGTTCTTGGCTGGCAACAAGATCTATTGATGACATTATAGAAGTCAGTTCTTCAGAAGGCAGTTTTCAAACAAGTTGTTTTACCAACAGAAAAGAGTTATATTTATTTGCAGCTGGGACTGGCTTCACCCCTATGGTTGGTGTAATTAATTGGGCTCGAAGGATCATTATAGGGAAATGGTAAGTACTTTGATAGGTTAATTATAAATTTTAAAACCTTTTTTACGTCTTGCCTCATTTTTATTCCATTTTTCTCAATAATCAAGCACAAAGATCAGTCTCACATTCTTCAATCGGACTGAGAAAGACATATTATGGAGAGATGAACTTGATAGACTGGCACAGAAAGATTCTCGGTAGGTGCAGAATCAGTTCTCTAAATTATTTTAACTTTCATCAAAACTAATGAGAAACAATTTCTATCTAAACAGATTTACTGTTTCCCATGTATTATCTGAGGCTGATGAATCTTGGACCGGTTTAAGAGGACGGATGGATGGGGAGTTATTACGATCTCAATTGCCTTCAAGAAATCCACAGGATGACCCCAAAACTTTTGTTTTTGTTTGTGGACCTACAGCTTTTACTCAATTAACAGGAGGGTTAGTCACATTCTTTTCATTTCTTTCCACACCTTAATTGATAATCTATCTGTAAAAAGAAAAGAAAAATTATGTCTGTCAAAATTTTGTCTCGTCTTTTTGAAATTAGGTACTAAAAGTTCTCCCCTTTTTTTATTTTACAGGCTACTTTCGGTGATGGGTTACTCCAACAAAGACTACCATTGTTTCCAAGGCTAATTCAGACTTCAACTGAACTTTGGGCTAAATTCATATCATGTGGAATACATAGTTTGAATATTCCATGGCCGTCTAGGTATCTGTTATTCAGAAGAGCACATTATGTTTTTTCCATGTTGAGTGCACGTCAATGCCATTGACACTTCCTACGTTTCTTTCAACCTGTTGTTGATACCTTCTAAAACATCAGCTTTCTTTGTGACGGAGACTAAAACATGAGTATTCCAACTGTTTTCTTTACATGCATGCGTTAATAAATAATCCTCAATACCTGATTATTCTTAGTGCAATAACGGATTTACAGGGTAAAAATTTTATCAGTTATATTAGCGATGTAATCTATCTTTAGTATATGATCTATTTTTTACTAAATCTGTTTGTCAAAGAGGAGGAATATGTGTACTGTACCATGGATTTTTTATTACTCCTCAATTTTCTCGTAGCAACTTAAATTCAGATTCCTATAACTCTTCAGATTTGTTTCCCAGATAGTCTTCTTTTTTGGGAAGAAACAAGGCAGTCGCCAGTCACATCCTGCCAACATGCATGTGTTATTAGAATAAAATAATCTTATCTAACATAGGTTGTTCAAAGAACCAAGTACCTATAGATATTTTAAAAAGATACTAATCAACTCTGCCAAAGTTTAAGGCACAACCTGTGATTCTTTGCACTTATCATTTTAATCTTGAAATTTCTATATAGGACCAACTTTTATTCTATTATATAATTTTTAAATTTGGCACTAGTGGCATAAGTTCATTGAAAAATGTGATATGCTGACAAGCTTTTAGCACCATAGATTGATTCAAAATTTTAAGTAGAAATGAGGTACGTAATTCCCTTTTCTTTTCTTTTTCCTTTTTTTGTGGTAAACAATCAACAATCTCCAGACTAATAGTGAAAATTAATATGTTTATGTGAGATTAAAGAAAATCAAGAAATAAAGTTAGTGCAATGTAAGAAAAAGAACTTTATTTAAGATTACCTTTGTCTATTATGAATACACGTATAAACAGCTGTAGGTTGAGAGAATGGTTAAATTCAAACCAACCTCTATAATCTGTAAGTTTGAGAAAAGGCGGCTTTTTCTCAAGCCTCAAGTGTTCATTGGGTTGATAAGGGGAGACGGCTCCGATTGTCCGAAGCTCGTTTGTCTGAACCTAATTTATCTATTTTAGTAAATAAAATGAGTAAAGTAGTTAATGGCAGTTGTTGAAATAAGAGCTAAATCAGGTACAGATACCATCAGGAGGGCAAACGAAGTGCCTAACTGCAGTTCCGGGACTGGAAAAGGGTAAATGAAATAACTTACACTATTTCACTAACATAAGTAAATAATCTTATTTTTGAAACAAGTCTTGGTACGCGCCATGCCGTGGATTGGCTGTAATGTGCCACGGCTCTCGGATCTGCGATGGGTAGGTCACTTTCCTAACAAGGGAAGGTTTTCCGGTGATACAGTCAGATTTCAAAGAATTGCCAAGTTCAGCGGTCTCATAGCGCCTTATAGGTAGGCAACATCTTGCTTGTATTGCTTGGGTGTATTGCGGGATGGCCTACCCGGAGTCTCGCAGGCGCCGAGCCTCCCTAATTTCTCGACAAAAAGACAAAAGTCCGCTCGGCACCGTAAATGCTCACGCCCATCTTCTAATTTCCCTCCCCCCCTCCCCAGTAAAATGGGGGAATTGACCCCTCATACAGAACAACTTGTAAGCCCAGGGCATCTGTCAGTAACGGGGGCCGGTCGATTGCGGGCGAGAGCGGGGTCCGCAGGACGCAGCGCAGCGGTCGCTTGCAGGGGGGCTGTCAAAATAAGATACGGTTTGGCCGACCGACCGACCGTCAATCTCGGAACGACCAGGATGACTGAAATATCGTGTTCGGGGGTTTTCTCGCACGCTGAGTCCAAATCTGGTAGTGCTGATGTCGTCCGGGCCCCCGGGGACGTCATTGGGGACCTCCCGAGCACGCCGATGACACTCCCACGACAAATACGATTCGGCTCCAAAACGTCGTGTACTGTGTACCCCGGCTGGTGCATATTTCTTAAAAGTCGCAAATATAATTATCATTAATAGCAAATCGCCCATCGTAGTTAATTATCCTGATCATTTCATTATTGTCACATGGCACTTCCCTGG